CTTTGAAATGAAGACTTTAACAGCGAAGAGGCTTTATTTCTGCAGAAGAATGTGGAAGAGGCCCACTTCTGGAACAGCACGCTGGAGACCCCAAGGGGGCGGGTATGTCCTGTGTCAGGGGCTCCACCGCCACCCTCCTGTGTCTGAGCTGCATTCTTCCTTCTCCGAAGCTTTTTTCTTTACTCATATTTTCAGAATTTCTTCTCTTGTCTCCTCTTGGACTTGGAAGTTATGAAAGAATGCAACAGTCCCTTGCAAGATCTCTTCCAAAGAAAAATTCCATTGGAACCAACTCTGGTACTTTGTGGTTTCATTGAGTATTTTCACATAGCTGAGAAAGATTTAAAAATCAAGCTGATTTCACTCTTCAGAATTAGGCAAAACCTGCTTAACATGCTCCTATTTATGTCATTTTCTTGAATATCTTACAAATACAAGCTTATTGTTGTGCATTTCGACATGCTGTATTTCTGAGATAGATTAACCTTCTGGGTGTTTTCTCCTTTGCTTCTCTTAGTAAACTTCGATTGCCACATATTCTGACTCAAGAGCATCATGCACTACATAGATTTATTCTTCTCAAACTATTCCAAGTGGCAACAGTGTTCTGAATGGGTGGGAGCTGTTGCTAATAATACTTAGGCACTTTGCGGTTGAATGATCATTCCCAGAGTAAGTTTCAAAATGGTCTCCGTTAGGCTCTTTTGTTTCCAGTATTCCATGTAAACTCTACTTTTGTTGTGGTGGTTAGTGACATTTGCTATTTCATTCTAGACCCAAGTAGAGTATTTATTTTAGCCTGCCTAATTATTTGGAATTTTCAGAAGCAAAAAGCTTGGGACAGTTACAGTGGTGTTAATAAGTATCATCTTTGTAGCACCCTCATGACTTCTCTCAAAAGGGCCTTGTTTGTAAGATAGGTGAGTCCTGAGCGCCACCATCCACTGTCATCACCACCCTCATCTGCTGGCAGTAGACGCAGGTGGCATGGCATTGTCTGATAGATTATTTCCAGTGAAAAGCTCCTATTATGAGGCATGCCTGGAGAATTAAGCCATAACAGCACTTCAGGCTGCTGAGTTGGACTCGGAGATAGTGGGAAAGGCTTCTCTGGAGGCTGCAGGGCTTCAGGGTCACTTTTTTTTTTTTTTTTTTTTTTTAGACGAGTTTCGCCCTTGGTTACCTAGGCTGAAGTGCAATGGCGCAATCTCGGCTCACTGCAACCTCCGCCTCCTGGGTTCAGGCAATTCTCCTGCCTCAGCCTCCTGAGTAGCTGGGATTACAGGCATGCGCCACCATGCCCAGCTAATTTTTTGTATTTTTAGTAGAGACGGGGTTTCACCATGTTGACCAGGATGGTCTCGATCTCTTGACCTCGTGATCCACCCGCCTTAGCCTCCCAAAGTGCTGGGATTGCAGGCGTGAGCCACCGCACCTGGCCTCAGGGTCACTTTTGTGCACACTCTTGGAGTGTCCAGTGTGGATAGCCAGTATTCATAGCACACAGTTGCCCTGATGGATTTTTTTTTTTTCTTGGAATTGGATATTTATGTTGCAGATCTGGCTTTTTAGTTTTTGGCTTTGCTCTGTTCCTTGAGTTGCAGATTTCACTGCATCTGAAATCTGAGAGTACAGAGGCTCCAAGGATGCTGCAGAGAAGAAGGTGAACTGCAGTATGGGCAAGAGGTAGGCAGGACGGAGGATTTTGTCAGGGGAGTTTGGGAAGGAAGAAAATCTTAATCTGCTGCACACTGCTCTGCAAAGACGTGCTTGGCCTTGGTTGGATTTGAAGGCAGAAGGAAGCAAGTGCGTGGGATCCCTGTGGCGGAGGCAGCACATCACCCTCTCGTCCCTGTCAGGTGATGTGTGCTGTCACTGGCGATAGCTCAGAGGAGTTCTGCCCCAACCCCCACTTAATGCATAACCTACAGTTAGGATAACTACCATGCTGTTGTTCAAATAACTGGAATATTTTCCCTGGTATGATTAATACACTCTCAAGTCCTATCATTCTCTTGATTTTAAAGTTCCACAGAAATTACTAGCTATTTAATATTATTATATCAGTTCACTTAATTCATACTAATTTTATAGAGAAATACTTTTTCAAAGTTGTTTTCTAGCAGCCTGACTATGTGATTTAGCAGTAGTTTCTTGTTTTGAATAGCATTTAAACACTTCAGTCATAGTTAATCTGAGAAATCAGGATTCAGATTTCCTAAGCAGGCAGTGCATCAGTTCTTCTTCCTCAGGTTAATGATATTGCGGCATGATTGTTGTCCATACTTTTGGCCAACCATGGCCTCAGATTATTTGAGAAGTATGTGTTGTATTTAAAAAAAAAAAAAAAAAAGCTAACAGAAGTCTCATTTTCTCCACATGTAAGGGAGTGGACGATGGGCAGGGATAAGAACAGTGGCAGCACCAGCGCCGGCCTGGGCTTCAGAAGCAGCAGTGAAGCAGCAGCAGATTGTTTCGGTTTGGGATTCTTTATGCAAAATTCTAGATTCAAATCCTTAGCAGAGATGAATAAATATTTCCCCTTTATATAAACAGAAAGAATTTTTAGGGATAGGCAGGCTGGATCATGCCTATAAATCCAAATATTTTGGAAGGTCAAGGCAAGAGAATCACATGAGGCCAGGATTTTGAGACCAGCCTGGCCAACATAGGAAGACTCCATCTTTACAAAATAAAAAATAAAATATTAGTTGGGTGTGGTGGCATGTATCTGTGGTCCCACCTACTCTGGAGACTGAGGTGGGAGGATCAGTTGACCCCATGATTTGAAGCTGCAGTGAGCTATGATTGCACCACTGCACTCCAGCCTGGACAACAGAAGGAGACCCTGCCTTAAAAAAAATTTTTTTTAATGATTCTTTGTTTTTAGAAGTAGAATTCACAAGCCAGGGTAATAGTTGCCTTTAATCCTACAATTAAGTCTGCATATACTCTTTTTCTTTTCTTTTCTTCTTTTTTCTTTTTTTTTTTTTTTCGATACAGTCTTTCTCCATCACCCAGGCTGGATATCGGTGACACTGCAGTCTGGACCTCCCAGGCTCAAGTGATCCTCTTACCACAGCCTTCTGAGTAGCTGGAACCACAGCCATGCACCACCACACCCAGCTAATTATTATTATTATTTGTAGAGAAAAGTCTCACTGTGTTGCTCAGGCTGATCTCAAACTCCTGGCCACAAGTGATCCTCCTGACTGGGCCTTCCAAAGTGCTGGAATTACAGGTATAAGCCACTGCACCCAGCCCTTTTTTCTGTTTTGTTAGAACATTCAACATTTCAGATGATCACACTCTATGAGAATTTCTGAACCAAACATTGGCTGATTTAGCCAGGATTCATGTCCCTGTGTGAGACTGAAAGCTAGTTTCATGGGGCCTTCAAAAATCCTGCATGAATTAAAGTGAAACAGTGGGGAAAGCTGCCCTTTCCCTTCTCCCCAAGAGGCTTGGGACTGCTGGCCCAGACAAGCTCCACGTTATGCTCTGGTTGCCTTTTTTTAAGTGATGAGACCTTTAGCATTTTACTAAACGTTGGATATGCTTTGGTTTGGGTCAGGCTAAGGTTGTAGCAACTTGTTAATCCTAGGATATTTTAAGGCCCTTTCTTTGGTATATTAGCCAGCATGGTGGTAGCTCAGACCTGTGAGGTGGGATGCTCACTAATTGTAATGGTTCCTTCTTACTCTTTTGAGCTGAATTCTCATAAGTTGCTACTGGCTTCCTCACCTTTATGTTTGAATAGGAGAGAAGAAAGTTTTTTAAGTCAGTATTTTCTCTTTCAGAAAAATTAACGTTGGTATCTATAAATGTGTGTATATGTGTTTAGTTTGTCAGTGATTATCTCTTGATGAAAAGAACTGCATATAGGCCTGGCATGGTGGCTTGTGCCTATAATCCCAGCACTTTGGGAGACCAAGGTGGGCAGATCACCTGAGGTCAGGAGTTCGAGACCAGCCTGGCCAACATGGCAAAACCCCTCCTCTACTAAAAATACAAAAATTAGCTGGACGAGGTGGTGCGTACCTGTGGTCCCACTATCCAGGAGGCTGAGACAGGAGAATCTCTTGAACTCGGGAGGAGGAGGTTGCAGTGAGCCGAGATCACGCCACTGCACTCCAGCCTGGGCAACAGAGCAAGATTCTGTCTCAAAAAAAAAAAAAAATTGCATATAAAATCTTTTGATGTCTTCTGCTGTTTTCCCTATGACAATTTAAAGAGGAAAGAGAAAAAAAAAACAAAGGACCATCTGCCTCCAAAAGGACATTCCGTGTGGCCTTTATCTCAGAATGCTCTCTTTTGTACTTCCTCCTGGGCAGTCTACTCTCATACACACCAGTTTCTCAAGATTTTGAGAGTTTAATTAAGGCAAGCTTTACAAAATTTAAGTGTTTTCACTTTCTTTTTAGTGGCACTTAGAGATTTAGTAAGTTTTTATAATCCAGACAAAACTCATATTTTGCTTAAATGCTTTTTAAATTTTTGAAATGTTATATAAAACTAGTATTGATTTAGTGGATTATTACCCATACTTACAGCTTTGAAGAGTGAATATTGTGTAGTTACTTTTTAAATTTATGTTCCTTTTTTTTAAGAATTTGGGCTTCTTAATGGTGTCTTGTTTCATGACTAAAAATCTGAGAAGCTACTTTTACTTTTGGGCACAAAGATCTGTTTGGCTGGTGGATTTCTTTGGTGTGGGAATTGCTTAAAATGCCAAGCCATTCATCTTCCAGAAGCAAAGCCCTCTGGTTATCTTTGTCTAACCTTCAAAGAGAAATGAGATGCTTCATTTTAAAAGGCCTTGATGTAAAAATGTGTTTCAGATTCTTTTTTTTGGCAAATGTGTTAATGGAAAATTCTTTAAATTCTCAATAAGACAATTTGCACTAAAGTGCAAAAATACCTTCCTCTGTCAAGTATTTATTTGCAAATGGTTTCAGTGAATATAATCTTTTTTTTTTTTTTTTTTCAACTATTTTCAGAGTAATTCTTCAATCCAGTGTTCAGAGCTGTAAAACATCTGAACCTAACATTTCTGGCAGTGCAGGCATTACTAAACGAACCACCAGATCTGCTTCAAGGAAAAGCAGTGTTAAAAGGTGAGAAAAGAATCCTACTCTTCTGCAAGCAATGGTTTTCCAGTTTAATCTTTGGGCCCTATCTCTGGAGAGTGATGTGAAATTAGGAGAAAGTAGAAGCTCTGTGATGGGAAATTAATCAAATGTGTATTACTTGTTCATTGTCTAAGAAAATCTGGATTATTTTAATGTAGGCTTTTGTTTTGTTTTGTTTTGTTTTTCAAAAGTAATTCTCAACACTGCAAGTATGATCTCTGGGTCTGATAAGGGAAAGTTTTTAAATTAAGAATTTCCAAAGCTGGCTGTCAGGACTTGGAGGACATCTTTCTAGGTGTATATCAGATACAGCATCATTGCTGGACAGTTAGCTGCAAATTAGTGTGATGGTGGAAATGAGATAACTCTAGAGAGTTTGGGGCTCCTTCTCTACCAGGTGACTCTTTGTCCTCTTGGCCACAGCCCACACCTGAGGCTGTTACTTCTTTCACTGTCATCACTATCTTCAGTAAGTGTAGGCAGAATTTCACAAGGAAGCCAATGTGTTCTGTGACCATGTTGGTGATTCTGTTGTCTTTAGATATTTCTCATGAAGTGGACACGTCATTTTTAAAGTAGTCTGAAAACAGATACCATTTGAAGAGAGAAGAGATGGCCCAGGAGTGGAAGGGGGGTACCTTTTCATCTTTGCCTGGTGTTGGCAGCCCTAGCAGCCCTGTTTTTGTCCTCCTGGTAAAAACGATCTCTTCTAATAGACATGAGTGACCAGGAGATAATCAGAACCAGACTTTAAAATGTCCTGCACATGTGCCTCTCTTCTTTTCAACTTCCTTGCCCTGTATATGTGAGACTTTTGGCCTACGGGCCTTATCAGTGTGAAATTAGTCCCCAGTGCAAAACAGCCAGTCTCCCAGGAGACCCATGGCAGAGTAGGAGCTCTGTGCGCTTTGCGTTTCAAGGACTTGTTCAGCTGCGTTGTGTTTCCTCTTTGCTGTTTGTTTTGTACAACTTTCCTGCACACTTACACTCACATGGGGATGCAGCAGTACCCCATGAGGATTTGAGGACTGTCAGGCACTGACTCATGATTTCAGGATTTAAAATTTTTCATCAGAGATGTATCAAATATTCCTATTTCTTTACTCTTCAGTTGTACTTGAGAAGAATATTGGAGAAAAACTGACAAAAGGTCAAAGATTTAGGTACATTGGAACAATGCGGAGTGTTATTTATAACAGTGAGAAAGAGGAAATGGGCTCAACATTGTTACATTACGCCAGATGCTTTGGGAGTCATATAGTTTAGTTCACGAAGTGATGAGTGAAAACAGCCACACATAACAATTCTCAAGTATGGTTTGCACCTATAACCCCAGCACTTTGGGAGGCTGAGACAGGCGGATCACTTGAGGTCAGGAATTTGAGACCAGCCTAACCAACGTGGTGATACCCAGTCTCTTCTAAAAATACAAAACTTAGCCGGGCGTTGTGGGGCACACTTGTGGTCTGAGCTACTGGGGAGGCTGAGACAGGAGGATCACTTGAATGTGGGAGGTGGAGGTTGCAGTGAGCCAAGACTACCACGCCACTGCCCTCTAGCCTGGGAAATGGAGGAAGACTCCATCTCAAAACAAAGAAATATTCTGAAGTATGACTCTAATTTTGTAAGTATACTATATATGTATAAAAATAAGACAAAGGAAAAATATGCCCTGATATTAATAAAAGCTCTGGTTGGTGGGACAGTTGGGTTTTTTTTTCTTTTTTATCATCTTATTTTCCAATTTTTCTACAATAAGTGAGGGGAAATAGGTGTGTTTTAACTGACACTTTTAGGTGAGCCAATGTTAAAATTTTAAACATTCAGGCTGGGCGTGGTGGCTCATGCCTGTAATCCCAGCACTTTGGGAGGAAGAGGTGAGTGGATGAGGTCAAGAGTTCAAGATCAGCCTGGTGAAGATGACGAAACCCCATCTCTACCAAAAATACAAAAATAAGCCAGGTGTGGTAGCAGGCGTCTGTAATCCCAGCTGCTCAGGAAGCTAAGACAGGAGAATCGCTTGAACCCTGGAGGCAGAGGTTGCATTGAGCCACGATCATGCCACTGTACTCCAGCCTGGGCAACAGAACAAGACTCTGTCTTTAAAAAAAAATAATAATTAGAAGTCTACCGTTGATGACAATTAATTTTGGCATGTCTTGAAGGGGGTATATTATTTTTAAGTATGAGTGCTCAGGCTTTTTTTTTTCTTTGAGACAGAGTCAACCAGGCTGGAGTCTACCACACTGGAGTGCAGTGGTGCTACCGGCTCACTGCAACCTTCGCCTCCTGGGTTCAAACCATTCTCCTGCCTCAGCCTCCCAAGTAGCTTGGATTACAGGTGTGTACAACCACACCTGGCTAATTTTTGTATCCTTAGTAGAGATGGGGTTTTGCCATGTTGGCCAGGCTGATCTCAAACTCCTGACCTCAAGAGATCCACCCTCTTTGGCTTCCCAAAGTGCTGGGATTACAGGCATGAGCCACTGCACCCAGCTGCTCAAGGCTTTGATCACAGCCTACTGTGTCTTGCATATGTAATTCTGCTTTTTGCTTTTTTAGATTATGCATTTTAGGTTACAGAGGAATAGAGTCCAGAAGCCTGGCTGATGCTTGCCAGGTCACACCACCTTCCTCTGAGGAAGGAAGGGCTGGTCTTGCCTCCATTTTTCTATCTGGGTCTTGTTGCTTTTTCACATCACTCTGGTGACCTGAACTCCTGCTTCTCTAGAGAAGTGGTTCCTGGCTGCAGTGAGCATCTGGCTGAGGTCCCTGTGAGGATGCTGTGAGGCTCTTAATGTAGATTACACAGTCAGTGATCTGGACTGAATGCTGAAATGGCCCAAGCCAGTTTCCAGGAATTCTGGATAATGTTGAAAACCAGAAAGACTTACTTTAAATTCTAACATGGACTTTCAGAGATGATGTGGAGAGCAAAAGGAGTTGAGCAGTGAGGATGAGTTGGGGCTCACAGTTTATTTAACCACCTTCCTCTATGTGGGTTTTTTGTGCCTCTTTTGGGGCTTTGGTCTGTGTTCACATCACCTTACCTGTTAATCCACCTACAGCTTACAAAAGAAAGGCAGATAAATTATGTATAGTTTTTGAGAATTGGGGGCAGCCAAGCTGTAGCCTGGAGCTTTTATCCTACTAAATATTATTCATAATATCCTGCTGACTAGTATTCATTTCTGGTTGCAGGGTAATGAGGGAATTAGAATACTGGTGCATGGTCTGATTCTGGGCAAAATAGTATGAGCTGAGATTGTTGAGTAAATTCAAAGTATTGAGTTGAAATCTTTAAACAGCAGTAGAAAAAAAAATACAGCACTCTTTGGGGTCCTTTCGTCCCTCCCTACAAGGCACCAGGGTTGCCATTTCTTACTGGTTCGTTGTCACCTTGGTGACGCATTGGAACTTGACCTTCCATTTTCATGTTCCTTGGTGTCCAGGATGAAGAATCCACCCAAACTCACTTTGCACTTAATTGGCACTTTTGATTTTCGGGTTTACTGCGAGGCACTTCAGCTTTGGGAAACTTTTTCACAAACGGCAAAAGAGCAATAACTTGGGGGTGATGAAAAAAGTAGGAGTGATGTCTTAAACTGTTTCTCTTTGGGAAAAAGTGCCACTGTTTCTCACAGCAGATGACTATCCCCTCTGTATCCATTTGAAGCTGTGCCACATTGACACCTAAATTTCATGTGGCCACTGGTCTGGGACAGCAGCCAGGCAGCATCTGTAGCCCTCAGCCCTGCCAGTGCTCTGTGTGGCATCTTCTCAGTCCCTTCCCCGAGTCTGGAGAGGGAGGTGAGTGGGCTTCTCCACCTCCCACTTCCTATTAGAGCTGTAAATCCATGCTAACCTTTCTCTTTTAAGAACTAATAAATTCAGCGAATAATAGGCTCCATCGAACTTGACCTGTTTTCAGTGTTCTCACATAACCTCTCTGAAGAGCTCTCTTAAAACAGTCTCGGAAATTTCATCGTGCTCCAAGTGGAGAGCCTGCAGCTGCCTCATTTGCTCACATTCACTTCATGTCTTCATGTAGCCCTTCCACTGGTGCTTGTGTTAGCTTATGCTGTTTCTTTTGGGCAGGTTCGTCTTTTTTATAAATGATAACTTCATTCATTTTCTAAGAAACGGTCATGTACAAGTGACTTTAATTCTGAATTGCATCATTGGGAAACATCACTTTCTGCTGCAGCTGCTAACCCAAACCTAAGGTCTGGGGCTTTGGGGTGCTTTGTACCTAATTCTTCATATTGCAGGGGTCGGGGAGAGAAATGCTCAGGTTCTTTCCTTGGGCTTTTTTAAAAAATATGAGACCGCATCTCCTTCCGTTCCCCAGGCTGGAGTGCAGTGGTGTGATCTTGGCTCACTACAACCTCCACCTCCCAGGTTCAAGGGATTCTCCTACGTCAGCTGCCTGCGTAGCTGGGATTGTAGGTGTGTACCACCTGACTAAAATTTTATTTATATTCTTAGTAGAGTGGGGTTTCACCATGTTGGCCAGGCTGGTCTTGAACTCCTGGCCTCAGGTGATCTGACCACTTCAGCCCCTCAAAGTCCTGGGATTACAGGCATGAACTGCTGCGCCCAGCCTCTTTCCTTAGCCTCAAAAACCACGAGTGTTTTCGGGGGCCCTTCAGTTGGGAGTAGCTACAGCTAGGACCTCTGACTTCTTTAGTGTTCTCGTGTGGCTTTGCCCATGTCACACCTGCCACTGCCTCTTGACCCTCTGAGATCTCCGTGCCTGTTTCATTTCCTCTGGGCATGAACTTTTGGCTACTGCCATTATCTCCCAAAGTCCATCAGGAGAGGAGTCCCAGAAGGTTGTCTCTAAATGTTTCTTTTTAAAATACTGTTTCTCTCCAGTCTTTTAAAATATTAATGAACCTTTGAAATTCCAGATCTTTTCCCACTTGCCTCACCAGCTGACCCGGATCTTTTGACTCAGTGCTCTGTTGGGATCTCTGAAAGTGAAATGATCAGTTCAGATGCTCCTCCCTGAAGAGCACAGCAGCAGCATCAGGAGAGGGACCCCTCCAGATTGGAAGTGGTTTTTCTGACTCTTCTTTTGGTTTTGTTTGTTTTCTGAAAGTTGTTATTGAGCTGAAAGTGTAGCGTCACAAACTGGGGATGGAGAGGAGAGGGAGGCAGGGTGAGGGTTGTGGAGTGCGGAGGCAGGTAGCCCGTGGGGTGTCTCCTGTGCCCAGCGGAGCTGGAAACTACTTAGGTGCCAGAGCTTTTTCTGTGACCAAATTCTGGCTTTTGAAATAACCCAGTAACAGTTCTCTATGTTTTCATTCTGCCCACTCCTCCCACAGCCTGGTTCCTCAGAGGGAAGGAAGGAGGAGTGCTTTACAGCACGTGCCCCTGGCGGCATCATGGTACTTTCCTGGCTCTGCTGCCTCTGCCCGTCCATCTTTTATTATTTATTTTTTAAAATTTCTATTTTTTGCAGAACTGAACCTTTTTCTGCTCTCCCTTTCTCCCGTGTGTCTTTTTTCTTTGTGGTTGATAGTGTGTTGTTTTCTCCAGAGTATTTGTCATTAGAAACTTACAGCAAGCGTATACTTTCTAGCATGTCAGCATTTTTATTATGTTGCCCTCCTTGTCTTTGAAAACTGCCTGTGAACGCTGTGTAAAGTTTATCGTAAAAATCCTTTTTTTCCCCCTGTAGTCTCTCCATTTCAAGGACTAAAACAGTCTTGCGTTAAGTAAAAACCTGTGACCAGAGGTGAAGGAAGACTCTAGGAACTGAAAACTACGACAGAAATTAGCACAATTTGAAAACAAAACAAAATTGCAGAAGCCTTAGTTGCTTTCCACCTAAGAAGTTGGTTCAATGGAGAAAATGTCCACTGGAGTTTCAATAATGAATTTGGAGTTTGGGTGCAAAGGAATGACTCAGAGGGGCCCAGCTCTCGAGCTTGACAACAAAAATGCTGTTGTAAATGTAGTCTCAGGTGTAAATACCCAAGCCCTCTGGTACCCAGAGAGCTGGCCAGTCTGTGGTGCATGTGTGTCCCTGTGATGGCAATCATTGTAGTCGCTGGCCTTCAGAAGAACTGAGGATCTGATGGAGGTTTTTTTAATGTGTGTGTTTTCTGTTCACCTTGTGACCCTGTGTCAAAATTTATAAAGTAGAAAAGGCATTACTGAAATGGTACTTTCTGTAATTTGATAGTATCTGGCTTAATCGTCTTCACTTGACTCTTTGTAATACTGTTGTAATGAGTACCCAAGCTGCTTGTCTTCCACCAAAGAGTGCTTTATTAACAAGAATCTGTGAAAACCACATTTAAACACTGTTGCATGTTGTAATACCAGGTGGTACCTTGGTAACTCAAAACTTGCAAGAGAATATTAATGGTAAAAGAAGACTCAGGAGGAGAAGCTGACTTCAGAGTTGGAAGATGTTCCAGTCATTCCTTTCTCTGTCTTTAAGGGACTGAAGAACTGCAAGGTTGCCCATTGTTTGGTTGCCAGTCATACAAATTAACATCATATTTCCTTCCATGCCTGGAAAAAACACACTGTTGGTTTTTCCCCTTGGAAACCGCAATTCCAAATAATGTTGGCTTAAAAGAAAAAAAGTTACCGCTTTTTTAGAGTCCTTCTCTGTAACATTGGAATTTTTTTCCTCCTGAGATCAGCCAAAGGCCATTGATGTGGCCTGTGATCTCAGTGACAGTGATCTGCTTCTGGACCTCACTGTTGCCTTTGGTTAGGGAACACAACTAGTAACTCTGCAGAGTGCCTTCTCCCGCAGCCGTACTGAAACACAGCAGAGTCTGTGCCATGAAGCAATTACAGAAACAGAATTGATTTGCTGCTTTAAAAAAAAAAAAGAGGGACCCAAATAAAAGAATATTTAGTACCCACCTCGGTTCCTTCCATAAGAAGTGGGTGGTTTAATGATTGTTAACCCATTTTTGCCTGTGCTGGGAGCATGGAGGGCCAAGAGGTTGACAGGCAGTGGGAACCAAATGCCCTCCTAAGCCACAAGGCATGCACCAGATCAGTAGGCAATTCCATTTTAAGAAGCTGCCCTTTTCACAAAACTGCAAGGAATAAAAGCAGTTGGAATGAACAGGTTAAACTCTTCAATGCAAAAAGTAATTGAAAGGCAGTGCCTCCATTTTGGTATACTTTATCAGGAAGAAAGTATGAAATGGACCGGCATCAGGGGAGACAGAAGATGCCGTTGTCTTAGCCAAACAGGCGACTCTTTCCCCACCAGGCACTACGGGGTAGGGTCAGGCCAGCCTTTAAACCCTGGGGACTGGATCACAGAAAAACAGTGGTGTTCTGTCCCTGGAAATGAATAGGCACAAAGACCCACTTGCCTGTGGGAAGACCACTCTTCAATAAGACTTGGGTGGCGGAAGGAACATTCCTTTTGCTCTTTTGAGCTAAGACAATATAAATATTAAACAGTGCCATGCACAAAGCATTGAATTCTCAGGGCACCTCCTCTTCCCCTTCCCCTTTTTAAGCCATCCCCTCCATAAATAATAATCCAGGTAGTTGTGAAAATTGCGCTTCCTTCTGAACCCTTCTTAGTTTGGCTTTTCATCCCGTCAGAACAAGTAAACATGCAGCCGCCACAGCTCTTGTGAGTACTGTCTTCCTCCTGGTGAACAAGCCTTCTGGTGTTTTGTCCAAGAAAAGGAAGGGCGTCAGCGGAACCACAGTCCTTTTTCATTTTATAAACTGCTTCTTCATGTCGCCTGCTCAAGTTTCCAGCTACAATTTCTATCACTGGCGCTTTGTAAAAATCCTTCTATTTAACTGGCTCACTGAAATTAGTCATAGGAAGTTTGTGATTTGGTGAGGAAGCATTCCTTGTAATAACCAAATGACTTGGGATGGTTTTCATAGCAACAGTGTTATACTTACGGGGATCACATCTCTGGAATCCAGGAAGTCTCTGGGTTTGAGGGATGGAAAGTTCTTCCTGCTATGAATGAGAATGGACTCTTCCCCTTACTCTGAACTGAAACCACAAACACCCAGAATCTTCTGGGATTCTGACTTAGAGTCCTTGTTATAGAAGACATTGTTGCTGTGGAATATGAAACTGTGTGTGTCAGATGGAAAAATTCCCTTAAGAGCCTTAAATAGACCTGAAAGTACACCAGGACAGTTTGCAAATGGAATTATATATAGAAGTGAGTATTTTTAAGTGCCCTTGAAGCTTTCTGGGGACTCAAAATTATCAAGAGTCAGGCACAGTCCAGAGGAAGAGCGTCTGCAGCAAAACTGGGTTCCTAGAAGTATGGATGGATGTCGCTTTTTGTAAACCTTGGCGGGGAGCAGCGCCTTGTGAGAACAGGTGGCCAGGCATGGCCAATGCTTCCTGGCAGCACGAGGCTCTGCCAGTCTCCAGAATTCCCCCGTTCTGAGCTTGATGCCCTTGGCCTGTCCCTCACCCACTTCCTTCCCTCCCCCTAGCCCTCTCACAAGGGTGATTGCTACCTCTCTCTTTTCCTGGGCAGAGCAAATTTTAGAGGAGTTCCCAAGCTTTGTCACGAGGCCTCGGCTTGTGCATGGCCTGAGGGCTCTCCTGGGGCCTGCCCTCTTCCCAGTCACCCTCGGAGCCATAGGAGCAGTGCACTCATTGGATGTCTGTTCTTAACATAGCTCAACTGCTTCTCTTTCTACATTTTAAAAAATCGTTGTATTTTAGAAAGCAGTGCTCATCAAAAGCAACTTTTAAAACCTATTTTATCGTTCCTTTAATAGTTATCTCCCACTGAAACTGCCCTGGGGAGGCTAGCTGCTGCTCTTCCACTCTCCACATCAGGGTATTCTCCACATCACTGAGTGGAGATGACTCCGGATGTATTTAAAGACTGGACAATTCACCTATACTGTGTAGGAAATTACCTCCTTAATTACCTGGTAGAATTGTTAGCAGACGTGTTCATCCGATGATAGTACTGCAGTTTTCTATTAATAATTTGCAGACTTTTATCTAACCTGCACTCATGTACAGATTATTAAAAGTTTTAAAATGTAACTGATCAGTATTGATCAATCATTGTCTTGATTTTTTTTTACAATGTATATTTCAAATCATATTTTTTAAAGCCAAGAGAACTGGTTGAATGAATGTTTATTTTCCTGAAGGTATTTTTAAGATAAAGCTTCCTAATGGCCTGTAAACTTTGCATATATATGTAGTTTGATACATACTGTCACATTTGAAAATCTTGTGAGTTGTAACTGGTTTTATACAAAATATCAAATAATGGAAATTGTATAATTATAATCATGTAATTAAAAGTATTAACCAAACAGTCTTTTAGTTTATTGTGTTCCTTATCAAGCATTTTAGGCAGTGAGTAAAGCAGAGGTATCCCGGAATCTGTGCTGGTCTGCTAGGATGGCCATAATGGAACACCCTAGACTGGGTGGCTGACACAAGTTCATTTCCTCACAGTTCTGGAGGCTGGAAGTCCACTACTGAGGTGTGGGTGGGCTGGGTGTTTCTCCCAAGGCCTCTCTCCTGGGCTGCAGGCTCTGCCTCCTCCGGGCCTGCGTGGCCCTGGTGCCTCTTCCCATCTACTCCCCTCTTGTGAGGACACTGGTCAGATTGGATTGGGATCCGCCCCGATGGCCCTCATTTTACCTCGTTAAAGGTCCTGTGTCCACATAGAGCCACATTTCAGGGGACTGGGGTTAGGGCTTGAGTGTTTGAATCTGGAAGTCAGTCCAGCCCTCTTCTGTAGGGTAAGGTGGTGAGCGAGAGGGGGCCATTCCTCACACCCCAGCACCAGCTCACAGGACGCAAAGGTCTGATTTTCTGGAGACTTCTAAGGAGAACCCTCAGGTCCTTGGGGTCTCGCCAGCCAGGGTGTGTCGGCGTTGGCCATGGCGCCCTCTGCAGCTTGTGGTCCAACCCCAGACATGGGCCTTGTGCTCTCTACCTGCCCTGCCTCTGATGGCCTCTAGTGCTGGGCAGGAGTCCAAGGGCCCATTGTCCGCACCCCACACACAGCTTCTGCTGAGACAACACCCGGTGTTCTGTTGAGTTCTATCCAGCTCCCCCAAGGAGCTGTGCTTGGATTCGCACTGGGATACAGGTGTCCAAAGTAAAAACCAGAGACCTGCCTTCTTACCCCTTTCCTGACTCCCACCAACATGACCCCCCCGAGTGTGTATGTGCAGACCCTGGCTCTGTGGGAGCCGTGGCCTCTCCCTGCCCCTCCATGGCTTCTTCTGAGGCCAGTACCTGGTAAGGTGCTCCCCTGACGCACTAACGCTCAGGCAGCTGGCCCCGCCACGCAACTCTGTGAAGTCCCTGAGTGCTGTGAAGGGGCGGGCTGGCTTGGAGGCAATGCTTCAGATGAAACCACGCAGCATGTCTATTCCACCTGGGGAGCCATGTCTTCCAAGCCTGCATGGAGGAGGCAGCAGGCTGTGGATACCCCTGGCCCGTAGAGACTCGTTTCCTTCCTTGTCATCTGGAGCCACTCTGCCCAGGACCTGACCACGTGCAGGATTTGCTGATCCCCTCTGCTTCCCATTAAGTGAAATTGAAAATAATTCCTACCGTAGCAATTAGTATGAGAGTTAAAATACACTAAAACAGTATCAGGGGAATATCTTTCAATTCACTATTTTGTTATATTTTAGGTCATTTTCTCTAGATAATTAGGGAACTGAGAGCAGATTAGGGACAGATAGCAGATTATGGTCCCTCAGTATCTGAAATTTTGGGGACCTGCAGCATAATTTTATGGACGGGAAATGGTGTAAACATTTAAAAAGAGGTCATGTAAACTATTTTGCCTTGAAGTGGGGGCCACATGCTGAAGGTAAGTCTCGAGAGTTTGTTCAGAGGCAAGGCTGGGCCATAGGAGAGGAGTTGCGAGGGCCCTTTCCATGGCCCTCAGTGGACTGAGATGCAAGTTGCTGTGAAAGAGCAAGTCCAGTGGGTGCACCCTACCCCAGTTCCGCCACTTTTGTGACATCGGGCACCCTTCATCTGCCAGCTGAGCCTCAGTTTGTTCAGTGGTAAAATTGGACTAGCTGTTTGGATTACAATTAACATTGTACTTCAGAAGTACATGGCTGAGCCTTAGCTGGGGGGGAGTGTGACATCTGCTCTGCTGTCTTTCCCTCCTCCGTGTGTCTAAGTGCAGCTGTGGGTGCATTGGAAAGGAGGATCTTTGGGGGAATTCTCCAAGAACACGACCTTTAGCTCCTCTGTGGTGTCCCAACTGGAGGTTACACCTTCCCTATCATTGGCCATGGAGGTGGCTTCTGAGGTCTTACTGTCACAGCATCACATCAGTGTTCTGCAGAAATTCTTCCTGGGCAGTGCTGGCTATTTCCTTAGGATAAATTCCTACAAAAGGGATTTCTGGGTCAAAAATGTGAAAGATGTTGAAGGTTTTTGCTGCGGGAAAAAGCCGCTTGGTAGAATTGTTGAGAGCATGCATTATGGGCCCAGGCTGTTTGAATGCAAACCTAAGCGCTGCCATAGCTTAGATTTGGGCTGAGTGACTTAGGCTCCCTAAACCCATTCCTTCTCTGAAATGGGGATGGTAGTATGCATCTTACAGGGTTGTGTGAGGATGAAATGAGTTAATATTTGTTCATCGCTGAGAACAAGTGTCTGGCACAGGCTAAGAGCCGAGTGTATTGTGCCTAATAAAAATAAAATTAATGCCGTCCAGGAGGACCGTCACGATGCGCAATCGCCGCTGCCCGCCCCACCCCCGTTAGCAGCTGTTGTGACGCTGGTGAGCTGCTCAGTTAATAGCAGGACAGTGGCCCCAGCGCCGCGGGTCGTGGGTCACGCTCGCTGCCCTGCCGTTTCTCGTCCTAGCCTTAGCTTTTCCGCAATGATTTTGGGCATTTTGCCTTCCAAGCGTTTGGCACCGCCTGCCCTTAAGTCCTAGCCTCACCGCATCTATCCGTTTATTGGGGGAGAAATGGACCCCCCTGAGCAAAGCCTTCCAGGTTTCTACCCAGCGCCTGGGGGGACCCCGGCCCCTGTGGAAGTGGGGGCCCTTCCGCCTCGGCCTCCCAGCCTCTAACCCTGCCTGTCTCTTTGGCAGCAAGTCTACATAGCTTTGAAGCGCTTCTGGACGACGCGTACTCGGTCCACACCGAAATCCCCAGGTAAGGAGGCCCCGGCCCTGCCGCAGAGGCTCCACGGGGAAAGTCTGTTTCTAAAGGGGGAAGGGACTCCGCGTGGGAGGGCGGCCGTGTCCTTTGTGCGTTGTGGGACTCGGGGAGGACAATGGTTTCTCCTGGCCCTGGGTGTGTTTCTGTGTTAAACAAGACGCCTTTTCAAGCAGGGCTGTTCTCCCTGGAGTGGGACCCCGGGGAATGCAGCGCGTCTGGCGTTCCGCACCCGCCTACTGGGTCCAGCGGACAGTCCAAGCCCCCATGCGTTTGCCCGCCCCGGGCCGGTGCTTCCCCCAGCTGGGAACGGCTCACCTGCTTCCAATGCCGTTGGTCTCGGCCCGAGCACCGGACAGAGAAGCCGCCACGGTGCTCTCGGGCCGGGGGGCAGAGGAAGGCGCTTCCCGGAGGGACGGCGCGGGACGGGCTCCCGGGGAGATGGGGAACTGGGGAGCTGGTCCGCTGCGCCTCCTCCTGCGGGGACTTCAGGGTAGCCTGGGCGGTGGAGCCAGCAGGGTCCCCTCTGCCTGCGCCTCGAGTGCAGATTCAGCCTGGACCCAGCTGGAGGCAGGCACATGGAGCGCCCTGGCAGGCCTGCGGTTGGCCTGTCCTCAGGTAGCAGCGGAGTGTCCACTCAGCACTCACTAACCAGGCTGAAGGGTGACAGCTGATTGCTCTTCTGGTCCCCAACCTAAGTTTGCCTTGCGGTTGAGAGCTTGGCCCCGGAAACTAGTCCTTGCCGTCCACACAAAGTCACACCCGAGACAGGCCTGTGGGTGTTAAGTTCAGCCCTGTCCATCTCCTCCCTTTTCCAGCGATGGTTGGCCGTCCTGGGTTGTCACCTTCCTAGACCGGCTTCTGCTCTGGCTCTGGATCCACAGGGACTAGGCCTTCGGGGAAGGTCTCTCCTGGACACACCTGCTGCCTGCCGCAAGTTCTCTCCAGGTGCAATTGAAGCCTCTCAGCAGGTGTTTCTGTCTCGTTCTTCTGCTGGGTGTTTAGGCTTCAGCCCAGGGCCTTCCCTGGTGCCCCAGGGGGCGACTGGGTTGGAAGGGCCGGGCACCCGCGGTGGTAGCAGGCCCATCCCCACACAGCAGGGCAGTGCTGCTTGCGCCTTCTTAGTCCAGGAGCCCCTGTGAGGTCATCTGATGGAAGCTGAGCCCCCTCCATCTTCCCAGAAAAGTTCACTTGGAATTTTTGAAGGCTGCGTCGACAGGTTCACTTACAGGCTTGCTGGCTGCCACCACACACCCCAGGGGTGCCGTTCCACAGATGCCATGTCGAGGGTGCCCCGGAGGTGTGCAGTCAAGGCAGGGCCTATTAACCAGTCACCCTGCCTGGGCCTGCTGGGGAGCCTCAGTAAAAATTCCCAGGCAGCGTCTTTCTGCCTTGGTCACAACCACCCACTTCCCCAAGCCCGTCCCTCACAGGCCACCTGGCGTTCCCATTGCTCCTGCTTCCTTCCTATCTACCTTTCCTCTTCCTGAAAACTTCCCCAGAGTCACAACTGACTCCACCTCCATCCCCTCACCAGCAAAACATGCGAGTTGGGGTCAGTTCGTTTAGAACTTGGCCTCGGATACTTGAAATGCTTTTCTTACTGTTGCTCTGACGCAAGACCAGTGGCCAGTATCCATGTGGGCCACCGGGACAGTTGTGCGAGTTCATCTCACAATCCCGGGGAAGCACCAGGCACACTGAGGTTGGTGTGAGTCAAGTCCCGGGAGGGGGACAGGACACAACATGGTGCCCAGATAGGGCAGTCCTCCTGGAGGCGCCCTCGGTGCCTTTGCAGGGTGGTGGTTTTTGAGGAGAAATGTCTTACCCCACCTCAGTGTCTGAGAACATTTGAGACTCTCAGAAGTCCCCTGTGGGGTTTACATACAAGCTGATGCCACATGACAGGCACTCCCTACCCTACAAATGGCTTTGCCCTCCCTAAGTGATAGAATTAATTCAGCTCTCTGGGAGTAGGCACAGTTCTGAAAAGAAACAGTGCTCAGAGATGGCATTTGTTGGTTCTCTGCTGCTTCCCACAGAGGCCTGATTGGCCCAAGGCGTAGCTATAAGGGGTGTGAAAGCCTTTGCTATAGGATTGGGGAAATTCCTGTCATCTGGAGTCCGAGGAAACTTTGTGGCTCAGGCAGAGGCTTTCCAGGAGCAACAGGAGATGTGCAGAAAGGCTGGGCTGGGTTGGGCAGGCAGCTGCTAGGCTCTTAGGCCTGGGGAGCCAAGTTTTAGTCCCATCCCAATTGCATGAAGACCCGAGGGTGTGCCGTCTGCACTGCTGCTGTGTGCAGTACCCTACTAGGCACCATGACCATCTCCACATGGCTCGGAGTGGCTGAGCACAGGGACACACGGCACACATTCCATGGCTCATCACCTGCTGAGGAACAGGTGCCCCTTTTCCTATCCCTTCTCCTTCTCCTAACAGCTTTGCCCAAGGGACTAATCCTTTCACTGGAAATTTCAGGAGTGTGTAGACAGAACATGGGGCTCAGCGACTGAATCTGGTTTCAGCTTTTACCTGCCCTAATAGTAGCCAGGGAGCAAGGAAACCGGCATCCTTGCCTGACTGTAAAATGACGAGGCATGACAAAACAGGACTCCCAGGCCCTCAAGCAAACGCTCTGCTCCTTCAGTAACCAAGCTCTGCCGCAGGTGCAGGGGCAAAGCCGGTGGGTGGAGGGGCATCCTGCAGACTTAAAACATGTCCAAAGAAAAGGCAGCACAAGTGTGAGGGGAGCGCCTGTGGGCGGTGAGTCCTGTGAGCAGGGATGAGGTGGTGATCAGCATGGTCCTTGTGGCCAGGCTTTGGAGGAAAACATAGTTACAAGGGAGTTCTGCACTTTTTATTTTTTTAAGAGATGAGATTTCACTCTGTCACCCAGGCTGGAGTGCAGTGGCGCGATCACAGCTCACTGTAACCTCGAACTCTTGGGCTCCAGCCATCCTCCTGCCACAGCCTTCCGAGTAACTATGACTACAGGGGCATGCCACCCACCTAATTTTAAAATTTTTTGTAGAGCCACATTCTTACTGTGTTGCCCAGGCTGGTCTTGAACTCCTGGCCTCAAGCAATCCTCATACCTCAGCCTCCCAACATATTACAGGTATAATGCCCAGTCTAGATTTGTACTTTTATCTGTATCCTATTGGATAATAAAAAGGTTTTAGAATATTTCTGCATTTTTCCTTCCTCATTCCCTTTTCCACACCTCCTGTCTTCCATAACACAGGCCCCTGTGGGGCAGAACAGCCCAAGGCCTCACATGCCCACAGCCCGCCCCAGGTTGTCTGAAGCAGGAGGGTCAGGGAAGGCCAGGATCCTTGCAGAAGGCTCAGGAGACAGCAGCAGCTAAAGAAAATGGGCACATCTTTTTTCTGTGTCTACAGCGGACGCCGTGTCTGTGGAGGGTGGGCGGGCCCACTGCTGCTGAGAACAGGGCAGGCACCAGCCACGCGGTCTGCCTTTCCTAGCCCCAGAGACCCAGGCCCAGCTGCTCTGGAGCACCTGCCAGCACTGCACAGTATGGTTTCAGAGGACAGTGACATCCTTCCAGTGAAGCTCCCATGCACTGGAATGGCATGGACTTGCTGATCAACAGAAGGAAATGGTCTGAAGTCTGACCAACACAGCGAAGGAGGGTAGCTGGCTCAGAGGGGCCCGCCTTGTGTGGAATGAAAACACCAAAGGGTCATGAGCAACATTAGGTCAGAGGGGTCGTGTTCAAAGCATCTAACTCAGACTTCGGAGGCATTCCCAGCGAATAGCAGTGTGTCCTGGCTGCCTCTTCCCAGACTTGTCTGACAGGCAACTTAGGTATTCATCCCAAGTGAGGTACCGACCCCCTCCCTCTTGGGCAGCACCTCCCTTTTTAAATTCTGAGACAGTCTCGCTCTGTGGCCCAGGCTGGAGTGCAGTGGCATAATCTCGGCTCACTGCAACTTCCACCTCCCAGGTTCAGGTGATTCTCCTGCCTGAGCCTCCCAGGTAGCTGAAATTACAGGTGCCTGCCACCATGCCCAGTTAATTTTTGTATTTTTAGTACAGACAGGGTTTCACCAGGTTGGCCAGGCTGGTCTTGAATTTCTGACCTCAGGTGATCTGCCTGTCTCGGCCTCCCAAAGTGTTGGGATTGCAGGCGTGAGCCACCGCACCCAGCCAAACACCCCCATCTCTAGAGGATCCAGCCCCCCAGCCGCGTTACTGCAGGGTGGTTTCCCCCGCCTGGTTCCAGGCTGTGTGCAGCCGCCCCAGGACCTCACCCAGAGCTGGGTCTTCAGGAGCTGCCCTGGAGGCACAACTCAGACATCTGAGGCTGAGCAGTCAACTCCTGCTTCAGAAATGATCCAGTCTGGCCTGGGCATGGCTAACCAATTCAAACTTGCTTGACCTCCACTTTTCAGGAGCCTTGGGGACAACAGACCCTCGTGGGCGTCTTTCATGAGGTTACTCTGCTTGAGTCTAAGTTGCCAGCCAGAACCGTGGTGCCCAGGGTGCACTGCCCCAGGACTTCTCTACACCCACACCACAAGCACCACAGGAGTCTGGCTGGGGCACTGTGGTCCGAAAGGTCCTGCTGCCTCTACATCTGGCTGTCCCTATGGTGTGCTGGTTATGCCCCCCTGCCCTTCGCTTCTGTCCTCCCTGGCTTCTCTGGGGCACTTGGGGCTACATACACCTTGGAACAATCAAAACCCCTCCACCCAGGCGCATGACCAAGTCGGTGACAGCAAATACAGCCCATTCCGGGTTCAGAACGTGCACCGGGTCCCCCCAAACTGTGTTCAATCACAGGACTCAACAGCTCTATGGAATAGGAACTGTCACTGTTTTGCAACTGTAACATTAAACCAAGTGCTATGGGCTTTTCAAGTATTGTTCACAACACTACAGGGAAGTTCCTTAAAAGGAATCTCTGGCTTATCTTCAAAGCTGCGGTGAGGCAAAATGACAGTGTGACAGCTTCAAACCCAGTGGGTCATGACACAGCCCTTATGTTGTAGCAGCTAGGTGAAGATTTCTGGAATCGGGGCACTTGCATCCATTGCCTTTTCCAGGAAAGGGAATAAAACACTCAATTGATAAACCTTAGTACTCAGATAGTAATTTAATAAGAGACCAAAAACAGGCTGTCACCCAAAGCAAACACCCTTAACTGACCCTAATCTGTATGGATTCAGCTGTGATTATTCAACAAAATCATGACCACCTGCCATGGCCTGGGAGTACCGGAAGGACTGTTTTCTCTACACTAAGTCAGGGGCGAATACCAACCTTTATTTGCACTTGGGTTCCAGTTCAAAGCCACCTTAGACAGTGTGGCAAAGTGAAAAAAGCACAGATCCTGGGGCCGAGGTTCAGATTCCATCACAGGCGAGCATATGAACTGTGTGAAAACCGGTAGACACTACCTGTGGTATCTATGGGAAAGCAGGGAGAGCATCACCCCAGCTTCCAGCAGCTCTACAGCTACCTGGACCGCAGGCCCTCCTAGGCCCACTTCCTCTGCAGCACAGAGTGTGCTCTGTGGGTGGGCATGAGTGGCTTTGGGTCCAGCAGTTCAAGGTGGGACTCCAGGTGAGTTACTGAACCTCTGGGGTATACCCCAAACCCCAAACTTTCACCAAAAGTAATAAAGAGGAATTCTAGAACTGGGTCCAGGAATAAGTGAGAAAAACTGCTTATAAGTGCCTAATAAATACTAGTTATTTACAACTCTTGCCCAGGCCGAGGGCAGAGGCCTTTGTACACAGCTGCCAAACTCTGATGCTAGCTCTGCAAAAGAAAGGATGCGGTATTTGCTTTTGCCACGATCCCTTTCCATTTGATTGGCAGGTTAAATAACATGGTTTTTAAAGTCATATACTGAATATTCTTCCTAAAAACCACCCAAACACTAGATATGTGTGTGTGCACACAGAAACCACGAGGTAGTTTAAATCACCATTAAATATCAACACTTTCTCTGATTCTGTGTCACAGAGTGGTGACCAGTGGCAATTTAAAATGATTGGTTAGGTGAAAACCAGAACTCAAAAATTCCAGGAGAGTAGATAACATTTACAAGTAAACAGTAAGTACAACTCTATTTTAATTTCTTGGTCTCTGAAAACTAAGCTGTGACTGCTTTACATGAACAGTTCAAGGTCTATGCATTTCCTCTAATGCTAAAGGCACAGCCCCTGGGAATCTACCACTTCCTACGAGCCTCAGTGGAGCCTATTTTACAACCCCCTTTCCCTCCAAGCTTCTGTGGAGGAGATTCCATACAATCTCTATGTACACATTTTAAACATTATTCCTGAATGTCATTTCAAATTCCTTCGATAAAAACACAATCGCCATTCTTCACCTTCTTGGGAAAGGGCCTGCTCTCGAGCCTCTGGAGAAGCCCCTCTGTCTAACAGCGCAGCCTGAAAAAGTGCAACGAATTCACACGATAGGGAAAAGCAACATCTATTGTTCCTAGAGTCCGACTGTCTTCTCACAGCCGGAAGAGTCTCTCCATGGGTGTGCAGTGCAGCTCCTCAGTGCCAGGAAGTAGCACTCTTTCAGGAAAGTGCAGGGAAGTCTTCAGGGTCGTCTGGGTTGGGGGCAACATCTTGCATCTAAAGAAGAAAATAAAAACTTTGAAATCCACTGCCCCTTCACCCATTCCTAATATCCCAATGGGATAACTAGGGCCTGGCACCAACACCGAGGGGCCTGCATTAGAGGCAGGATCCACAGTGGGAAGGGGAGAATCACAGATCAATGCAAACCCAGCAAAGTACAGCTCCCCTCCCACACAGGCCTCTGGCCCCCTCACAAAACGGGCTGCCTCCCTTCCTATGTCCTGCAAACTCTTACTGGGGGGGCTCTGCATGGGGCACATCCTTCATCAAGTAAACAGAATGGTTACTGCATGTCAGGCAATGGAGGGAGGAGGTGCACAGACAGTTCCTATCCTGGGGAGCTCATGGTGCCAGAGAAACTGAACATCGAGTCAGGAGCTTCACTAACAAGTCCTGGGAAGGAGGGGCCACATGAGGGCCGTCCAGTGTTATTTGGTGGCAAAGTAGACATCAGGGTCAGTCAAGCCTTTGTGGGAAGAGAAAGTTCTCCCTAGGTTGAACCCCAACAGATGAGGATGAGCAAAGGGCACACAGACCTGGTTTGGGCCACCATGCCCAGCTAATTTTTTGTATTTTTAGTAGACAGGATTTCATCATGTTGACCAGGATGGTCTCGATCTCTTGATCTCGTGATCCACCCACCTTGGCCTCCCAAAGTGCTGGTTTGGGAAACAATGTGACCTGATGGGGCAGGCGCAGGCCCTAGGACAGTTGTGAGCAGAAGCTGCACAGGTTGTGGGGGTGGGGAAGGTGTGGAAGCAGGTGGTGCTGGATTCCCAGAGTGGTTTCCCAACACACCTGCCCGGAGTGCTGCAGGAGCCAGAGCTCCACTACAGGAAAGGAGTCGGGAAGTGCTTCCTAGTCTCAGAATAGACTCTATTTCCAACCCGGCCCCAAATATACCCACTCCCCCCAGAATTGTGGTTTTGCTCTTGCTTAAGCAAAAACAAACCACAGATACTGCTTCCAGGGGCTGCTCCCTAGAGCGAAGGAACCAGGCAGCAAGCGAAGCAATGCCCAGACCAGCCAAAGAGATGGGGTCTGTGCCTGCTCCAACATCATGAGGACCACATGGTGGCCCATGCCGGCCACAGGGCCTCAGGGCTGACTTCCAATGAACAGGTGTCCATGCCACATTAGAAAGCGCCTACTACATGCTAGGCACAGCGTAAACCAACCGTGAGCAAAAGCAGCTTGACTGAGAACCACACCAGTGGGACTCCAGTGGCACACAGAGATCAGGCTTCAATGAAAAGAAACTCCTTTGCTCAGAGACCTTGACCGGTCTAGGAGATGTGATGAAAGAAACCTGTGAGGAAGTGAGGTTGGAAGAATGAACTTAGGCCAGCAGGCAGAGGCCAGGGGTAAGGAGCATGCTGTGTTGAGAGCTGGAAGCAGGCAGCCGTGGCCGAGGACAGTGTGAGGCAGGTGAGCCGAGTGAGGGAGGTCCCCTCACAAAGGGCTTGAGGTCTTAGTAAGGACTTTGTCCACTCTGCCAGCATCACATGAGCCCAGGACATATAATCAGGTCACAGGAAGCAAAACGTCAGGTGTTCCAGTTCAATCCCGAGCTGGGGAGCTCATCTAATGCAGATGAGAGTGAGTTTTCTCCGATCCGGAGACTGCCTTCACGGCAGACCCTGGAAGCCAGGGCTACAGAATGGTCTCTCACCGATGGATGTCCATGATGCTACAACACAGTCCAAATGCCCCAACATCAGTCCCACACTGGCTACAGGAAGAAGCAACTGCAGAAACTGATGACCCTCTGAAATTAGAACATCCTGGGCCTGGGGCACTGTCCTTATCTACTTCCTTCAGCAAACCACCTGAGAATTTACAATACCGATACCTACCACCACTTCTGCTCTGGGTCCATAGTTCTCTGCCCTCCTGATCCTTCCCCGGCCTCCCCGGTTGCCTCCTCTGGCTCCACGCCCGGGACGAGGGAGGTTACCAAAATTAATCTCCAGCTGAGATGTGATGTCATTGGCGGCTTTCCGGAAAACATGGGAATCGTCCTCATAGTCATCTTTTACCATCTGAAACATAGTTACAGCATCAAACACAAGTCCACAGCCATCCCCACACTCAGCTGCCTTAGTGGCTGCGATGTGCTGCCCAGGAGCTAAAACACCAGCAGGGGCCAGACAGAGCCCTAGGCTGCAGCGCTGGACAAAGGAAGACAGCACTGCTGTTTCTGTACCTGTTGCAGTCCCCCATTCTTGCAATTCCAAACATCCGTGAACTTACTATGATTCAAAGGTGGGTGGGACCAAATTTCTATTAGCTGAGCAGGTTAAGATGTAAGATTTGGCATGAGCAATCATAGCAAATGATATACATGTTTTATATCTAAGTGCATTTTGCTGAGATAAAGCTTTCATTTCTGCTTATTTTCTGTCTTATCTGCTCACAAATGCTTTGATAAATAAGGAAACGTCCCCTTTCCAGAATAGAACAGAGAAATTCCTTTCAGCAGGGGTGCTGACTATAAATATCAGGTGCTAAAAGTCACATGACTTATAATAAACAATTCTGACCCAAAATATAGAGAAATTTTATAAAATAACAGAGTACAGGTACCTGAGTGCTCTACCAACGCTGCACAAGGAAGTTAGGCTGCTTTTTTTTTTTTTTACTTAAAACTCTATCTCTTGTTACAACTATATTAAATAAATTAATTAAATCGGATCCAAATTTGATTTGGCTTCAACTCCTAATAATGGATAAAACAAAACAAAACAAATAAACTAAAATCCTACAGAAAGGAAACCTGTCAATGACCTCGGGTGAGAATCTCCAAAGTGCTGGAACAGTAAACATTCCTACAACCAGGAAACGGGACACAACTGCCATGAGCACATCGAAACCTTTAGGCCACAGGCTCATGATGGGCTTCGTGTTTAACATTTGCGTCCCCTTTAAGGTCTCAGGTTAAAGCAGAGGCTTTAGGTAGTTGGACACTTAATGCTAAGAGGATGAAGAGAAACAATCCAGGAGCACTGGCACTCTGTGAAAAGGTAAACACACAAAAATAGTAACAGGCAAAATAATCAACTCTTGCATTGTTTGGCACTGGCAGGGAGAGCACTGGTAAGTTCTGTCCCGGGGCGCTGCCTCTGCAGGAAGGGCCATGGGGCGGTAAAACGGGGTGAACCCAGTCTAAGGGCTCCACTTGCAGCTCCAGCTGGCCCCGCCAAAGTGCTTCAACTGCCCAGGGCCTTACACGGGGTTGTTATTAGGTCTGAACTTTGCTAGGTGTTCTAGCGCTTCTGTATTTTCAGGTGTCCAGAACAAAGTAAACTGATGAACTGAAGATCTGGCTGATGTTGCTTTAGAATTGTTCTTAAAGCAACATAATCCTCAAGATTATGTTATAAAGTCCTCAATCCCCTAAGATTAACAAGGACCAAGATGTGTGCTTTACCGAGACCAAGCTCGATGACTCAGCTAACCCACTTGCTTCAAATATTCTGAGAGACCTCTGGAGCCAGGGAGGATGAATCTGGCATGGATTAAAGAAGGGCAGCTTCTATTTTTACCTAACATGTCAGCTGCACATTTCAACCCTGACAGCACATTTGTTTTAGAGAAAGTTTTATTTACAATGCCTAGAACAAAGAACAAAGGAAGTGGACAAGTAAAGAACCAACCCAGCTCGCTAATGGACTTAGAAAACACCTGCCTGGGATCGCCAGGGAAATAAGGCTCTGGCCACCTAGTCTACAAAAAGCCATTTCTTGTGAACAGCTCAAAGCTTAGTAGTAAGGCCTCCTACAGCTTGGGCTGGCCAAAACAAGAAGGTGGGAGAGAATCCTGTATCTTAAATACCCTCTAATCAAAGTATTCACTCAGAAAACAAAACTAACTGAAGTGTCAATCACTCTACAATAGTATAACATTCCTGAGATTCCAAATGAAAATCAATGACTGATACCCTGCACAGGGGAAGTGCCTGCTCATTCCCACCCTGACACAGTGACTGGTATCAAGCTGTAACTGAATGACACAGATTCTAAATCCCATGATGAGAATGCTTCAATGGACCTATCCTTAAGTTCACTAACATACACAGGTGACTCGATGACCAGCGGCATCCCTATCAACATACACTGCTAGATATTTCCCCAGAAACCTCCCCCTGCAAAACGGAAGCATCTGAGAAGAGCTAGATGTGAGTCTTGAGAAATAAGGCCCTCACAACACAGGAGATCCCTGAGCAACCCTCGCAGCATGCTGGCCACTGTGGCAGCGCCTGACTAAGCTGCCAGGCAATTTGGGGGCTCATCTTCTGCCACATCTGCAGTTAGGCAGGGGGCGCGAAGCTGCTGAACCAACATGGGAAAGCCGTCAGAAGAGCATGGCACCTCAACCACAGTTTAAAAAGTCATCAACTACTCACACTGAAATGCTCTCATCAAGAATCAGAGCTGAAGGTAAACCTAATTAGGGAATACAGAGTGTAATTATCCTTTGAATAACTTTGAATTGTACAAGAAACAATCTGTAACTCTCACTTGAGAAAAATGCAGTTAACACACAGTGTGTGTACAGTCCCAGGGTGAGCAGGAGATGCACTGTTAATCAAACTGCTTTGCGTTTCTGTCAGTAACACAAAGTTTCAATTCCTTTCCTTAATGAGCAATAAAGACACAGTAAAATTGGGCATATATCATCTCTGATTAGAAACAAGAGCACCAACCACTAATGTTCCATTTTCAAGATGGAAGTGGAAAGGTGCATTTCACTTCCAATAAGGTAAAAGTAAAGATTACCTCTACATACAAAATATAATGCTTACATCATCTCTATATTTTGACTTGTGAATCACCACTGCTTTGGAAGGAACAGTGGATTCTGGTTTCCGGATGTTAAACTCAGGCTTTGGTCTGGTCTGTTCTTGAAGATTTTTCCACTCATCTAAAGTCATCTCTTGAACTTGAGTTTCTTCTTCTACCTCCAACTCAGGAACTCTATAAAGAGATGTATAATCATAAATAATAATTTTTGATGGTACTGAAATGTCTACTTTATTAAAGTTATAACCATTAATTAAACATACTTTTGTGGTACTGCATCTCAAATGTAAATAAGGTAAGACAATCTTTGACTCACAAGCTTCCATATTTTATTTTCAACATTTTATGTCATCACTGCCAACAGAAGATACTTCCTGTGTTCAAAGCAATCTTTGAAAAATGGGAACATCATCATCCTGATGACATTAACATTACACTTCACCACTGGCACTCCCTTCCAGAGAGCATGACAGACAAAATGAGGCAATTATGGAAAATGGGAGAAGCTACCAAAATAACATACAGGAAACCATAAACAGAAGTTTTAAAGCAGTGGCTCATAAATGCATACTTTTGTAGCTCTCCTCTTTAAATTAATGAGTTTTAAAAAGAAAACAAAGACAGACATATAGATTGATAGAATAGAATTCAGAGTCCAGAAATAAACCCTCACATTTACGGTCAATTGATTTTTTTTTTTTCCAATCATGGTGCCAAAGACAATTCAATGGAGAATGGAAAGTACTTTCAACAAATGGTGCTGGGACAACTGGATATCCACCTCAAAAGAAAGAATGAAGTTGGACTCCTGCCTCACACCATCAATATAAGAGCTAAAATAGAAAACTCTTAGCAGAAAACCTAGGCAGAAATCTTTGTAACCCTAGATTGGGCAATGGTTTCTTCCACATGACACCAAAAGCACAAGCAACAAAAGTACATACATTGAATGTCGTCAGACACTTTTATACTACAAAGGACAACATCAAGAAAGCAAAAAAGACAGTCTACAAAATGGGAAAAAGTATTTACAAATAACATATCTCATGGGGGACTTGTATCTAGAATGCATTAAAGAATTATTTATAAAGCATGGTAGCTCATGCTGATAGTTCAAGTTACTCAGAAGGCTGAAGTACGAGGATCACCTGAGACCAGGAGTTCGAGGCTGCAGTGAGCTATGATCACACGTGTGAATGGCCACTGTGTTCTAGCCTGGGTAACATAGTGAAGCACTGTTTCTTTTCTTTCCTTTTCTTTTCTAAGAATGCTTTATGAATTCTAGATACAAGTCCTCTTTAGTTGAGACAAATGACCACCCTCCTCACAAAAAAGGCAAGGACCTGAATAAACATTTTTCCAGAGAAGATATACAAATAGCCAGTAAGATGCTGCACATCATTAGCTATTAGAGAAAGACAAGTAAAACCACAGAGCTGTACCAGTCCACACCCAGTGGGATGGTTAGAATAAAAACACATTTGACGAGTGTTAGGGAGGATGTGGAGAAACTGGAACCCACATATGCTGCTGGTGGGTATGTGAAATGATGTAGCCACTTTGGAAAGCAGTCTGGAAGTTCCTCAAAATTTTAAGCTGAGTTAGCCTCTGACCCAGAAATTTCACTCCTGGGTTTATACCTAAGAGAAATGAAAACATACAACCATGTGAAAACTTAGACCCAAGTGTTCACTGCAGCACTATTCATAATAGCCAAAAACTGGACCTAACCTAAATGTCTATTAACTAACAGATAAACAAAGTATGGTATGTTTCTTGGAATATTATCTGGCAATAAAAAGAAACAAAGTACTAATACAAAACTTGAAAAAATGATGCAAGTGAAATAAACCAGGCAGGAAAGACTTCTGTATATGATTCCATTTACATGAAATATTCAGAAGAGACAGGAAATTCACACAGACAGGAAGCAGATTAGTGATGACCAAGGGCTGCAGGGAGGGAGGATAGGGAGTGACTACTTAAGGGGCATGAGGTTTCCTTTTGGGATGATGAAAACGTTCTGGAGCCAGATCACAGTGATGGTTGTGTAACACTGCGAATGTACTAAATGCCACTGAATTGTACACTTTAAAATGATTAAAACTGTAGATTTGTAAATCACCACAAAAATACGCAAAAAATGAAAGAAATGAAGACTGGCACATGCTACAACATGGATGAACCTGAAAACTGTATGCCAGTTAAAATAAGCCAGGCACAAAGGGAACACGGAATGATTCCACTTAGACACCGAGAATAGGCAAATTCCTAAACATGAGTGAAACAGGTTACTACGTGCTGAGGGGAAACGGGGAGTTAGTGTTCAATAGAGATAGAGTTTCTGTTTGTGATGAAAAAGTTCTGGAGATGGATAGTGGTGATGGTTACACACAATGTGAATGTTATTGATGCCAATAAATTGTATATTTTCCACTAAACTGTGTATTTTAAAATGGTAAAAATAGACATTTTTATGTTACCTATTTGTACTGCAATTTTAAAAAAATTAATAATATACCCCAAACCACCTATCCATGCATTCATTCATTATTATCTGTTTGAGACAGGGTTTCACTCTGCTGGCCACACTGGAGTACAGCGGCATGACCATGGCTCACCATAGCTTCAACCTCCTGGGCCAAAGGATCCTCCCACCTCAGCTTCCTGAGAGAAGCTGGGACAGGCATGAGCCATCATGCCCAGCTAATTTTTTTATTTTCTTTGAGACAGAGTTTCGCTCTTGTTACCCAGGCTGGAGTGCAATGGCGCGACCTCAGCTCACTGCAACCTCCGCTTCCTGGGTTCAGGCAATTTTCCTGCCTGAGCCTCCTGAGTAGCTGGGATTACAGGCACGCACCACCATGCCCAGCTCATTTTTTGTATTTTTAGTAGAGACGGGGTTTCACCATGTTGACCAGGATGGTCTCGATCTCTTGACCTCGTGATCCACCCGCCTCGGCCTCCCAAAGTGCTAGGATTACAGGCGTGAGCCACCGTGCCCGGCCTGGGCCGCTAATTTTTGAAACAATTTTGTAGAGACGGGTTCTCACCATGTAGCCCAGGCTGGTCTTGAACTCCTGGCCTCAAGTGATACTCCTGCCTCCGCCTCCCAAAGTGTTGGGATTACAGGTCTGAACCACCGCACCTGGCCTATACACTTAAAGATTTCAGTGCTATAGTATGAGAATTGTATCTTGAAGTTGTTTAAAGGAAAAAAAAACAGTATGTGGGGAGTGAGGAGAGAATCAAATCTGTATCTTCACTGAAGAGCTGATGTAACTTAAGGCTGTATTATAGAAATAGACAGATTAATGCTGTGAAAAATATAAGCAAAATCGGTAGAGAAACCTAACCATAGAGAACCCAAAATACACAAATTTGCAGTGATTTTATAATACCAAACTGATGGTAGAAAAAACATCAAAGCAACGGTAACATGAAGGAATATGAGGGAACTTTCTGGCGTGAATAGTAATGTTCTGTATATTGACAGGAGTTTGGATCCCAGAAGTATATGCATTTGTCAAAACAGTGAACGTACACTTAAGATTTACACATTTCACAGTATATAAATTTTATATCAGAAGAAAAAACTGTAAACTATTATTAACTTCCATTTAGTGATATATATGTTGAACTATTTAGGAAGAAGTGTATAGATGTCTACAATTTATTATGAAATGTGTCAGAAAACATGGTGGATTAATGATAGATACTTCTATCAAATGAATATATAAGATATAAATGGTAGCATTTAGGTGGTGTTAAGTATAGATGTTCACTGTAAAATTATTTTAAAGTTTGCTGTGTTTGGAAATTTTCATAATAAAATGCTGGAAAAATACCAATATCAAAACACAGATCTCAAATATATATTGGCAAAAATATTAAAAGACTTTAAAATAGCAAATTAATGGAAACAACCCAAACCTATCTAGAGAAGAACTTGGTGAAAACACTATAACAGGCTGGGTGTGGTGGCTCACACCTGTAATCCCAGCACTTTGGGAGGTTGAGGCAGGCAGATCACGAGGTCAGGAGATTGAGACCATCCTGGCCAACATGATGGAACCCCATCTCTACTAAAAATACAAAAATTAGCTGGGCATGGTGGCAAATGCCTGTAATCCCAGCTACTCAGAAGGCTGAGGCAGGAGAATCACTTGAACCCAGGAGTCAGAGGTTGCAGTGAGCTGAGATTGTGCCATTGCACCCCAGCCTGGGCAAAAATGAAACTCCATCTCAAAAAAAAAAGAGAAAAAATCATGTTTTTCAGACTGAACTTTGGAAACATGTAAATATTTTACATAATTATAAAACAGATTTAAATTAAAATTCAATCTCTAAAATTTGAAAGTAAAATGAATCAAAGTAACCTAAATGTTTATGAAACTGGTGATATAATCATCAAGAGAAACTATTTCAAATGATTCTGAAATACAAATTTGATTACTCATCTCCCTCCTGACGTAACTTTTCAGGAACTGGTGGCGTTGGTAATGTTGTCACTGTTTTATGTGCAACAAATGACTAAAAGTACAATGTTACTCGGAACTAGAACTTTCAGTATCTAAGAAAAGGAGAAACAAGCGGTTTTGTCAAAATCCCATGTCCTAACTTTGAATTGGAAATATTGAATGAACTCATATTTTATCTTATAATATGTGTGAATATGTGTCTGTTTCCCAGCTCTGTCCACCAAAATGCCCTAGAAACAATCAAGAACCTGGTGGGAGTGGTTCTTTATCAAAGCAGCAAAGAAGAAATACAGATGGTAAATAGCACGCAAAAAATGCTCAACATCATCAGTCATTAGGGGAATGCAAATTAAAACCAAAATGAAGCCAGGCATGGTGGCCCACATCTGTAATTTCAGCACCCTAGGAGGCTGAGGGGGCACTTGAGGCCAGGAGCTGGAGACCAGCCTGGGCACCAAAGTGCGACCCCATCTCTACAAAAAAAGTAAAAAATTAGCTGGGCATGGTAGCACATGCCACTCAGGAGGCTTAGGTGGGAAGACATTTGAGCCAAGAGTTTGAGGTTACGGTGAGCTATGATCATACCACCACTGTACTCCAGCCTGGGTGACAGAGCATGACCTTGTCTCTAAAATAGAAAAAACAACAACAAAAAAAAAAGATGACAAAAACCCATAATGAGATATGTGCCCA